AAATAGTGACTGAAAACGGAGAAACACCGACCAAAATTTCGTATGAGAGCTAACCGATAGAAAATTCGAGGGACTACTTTTTGGCCTACTTGTTTCAAACACAGCATTCACGTTGAAAATTATACTGATGAAATAAACTTGTTTTCAGTTACATTTTTGAAATTTGAGAATGTGGGGATGTCACCTCTGTCTTCACTAGTCCATACCCATCCACTAATGTTGTAGAGTTTGAAAGATTTCTTTTGGAACAACCCAGCATTCAAGTCGTAACAAGACAATGCGAAAGTTTCCATTCTAAACATCATTGGTCGACTAAATCGTATCACAACATGAAGATTCATGTTCCTTTCATTCTACAGGTAACTGAATCGTTTGCTTCCCTATTCGGCCTTGTCTACAACACAATTCGCTTAAATCAGTTCCTTCTGGCTGTATCAACGAATGCAGTACCAAAAGCACAGATAATCAATGGCTCATGGATGCTCCGTTTCCAGTCGAGAGTATATACAAATGGTAATAATAGTTGTTCATGTGGCACATCAAGTCTGTGTGTTAAGCCTCAAGGATTCTACTGTTCTGGGACTGATTGCCGTAATAGTAATTCATTTCCGAACCGTACAATTCCTGGTCTTAACAGTGGCTGCTTTCCTGTTGATTCAGTTCTTTTGTCAACACTTGAATGCCTCTTTAATCAATCGTGTATTCAAATGTTGATTGATTGGCGTCTTTTTGACGTCACTGATTATTATTTTGCAGTCAACTTGACCAATATCACTGCACTCGATTTAACTATAAAAAGCCAATTTTTTCCGAATACATCACTCGAAACTATCATTTCAAAACTTTTTGTCGAAGATTGGATGGAAACTATCGACTATGCTGCTTATTATGCTCAGTGTCATCCAAAATCTTGCGTATACACATTTATAGGGGAGCTTGGACTTATCATCATCGTGACAAATGTCATTGGTCTATTAGGCGGACTCACAGTTATTCTTCGCATACTTGTTCCACCGTCTGTCAAGATTAGTCAACAAATATATCACAATTGTCACGCTCGTTGGGAAAGAAAAAACGGTGAGAATCGAATAATTTAAAATGTAAGAAAATATGTTTTGTAATTACAGATATTTCAAGTCATCGCTCGTTTTGCCGCTTTATATTACGTATTCGACAAATTCTTAAGACTCTGAATGTCTATGAGACAGAGTCTCCCGCTGATTACCAGCTATTAGCCAGTCGAATCTATGTTGTTCTACTGATGATTACAATAGCAGTTATATCACTCTTCGTCGGGCTAAGTCAACAGACACATTCCTTTACTGTTGACTCGCCTAGTGAAGCTGAATTCGAACATCTTTATTCTCAATATCAAACTTCACTAAAATGTTCTTGTTCACAGATTGCTATTACTTATGGAAAATTTTTCGATGCCTCGCCTGTGATGCATCACATATGTTCCAGTCAGTTTGTTTCATCAGATTGGTCGATAGCTTTATTCAACATGGGTTCTACTTGGTCATTGTCCGATTGGTTACTACTTAGCACCCAGTTTCGTATACTATCATCACTGTGTAAGCTTGCCAAGGATGCTATCGATCAATCAATCCATAATTTCATTTCAAGCCAATTGGTCAATTCCGAAATCCTTCCATTCAGTTTATTTCAAGCACAAGTCTATTCGGCTTTAGAGCTTATAATGGAGCTAACTCCAGTCAGGTTTCGTCGCACGCTTTCGTTCATTACAGATGCACATCAATCGAACCAAATCATAGATCAATTTATGTCAAGTTGGAAAATGATTTATTCGACTTCAGCTGAATATTACATATTTCGCACTGTTCCATTTTCATACAACAATAATACATGCACATGTGCTGCAGGCATGTCAACATGTTCGAGACCACTCATCTTTTTGGATTCGATCAACAATACAATCACTTTTCCAGGTAATTGTAGTAAGATTAATTTCTTTTTCAAACAATTACTACGCCTTTTCAGGTTTCAACGCCGGGTGTTTGCCAATCTTAGGTCTACGCTTATCGACATTCGAATGTCTTTATGACTTAGCATGTTTGAATAAACTCACGGCATTGCTCGGTTATTCAAGTCCTATTATTGCGCTCAACTCATCTGACACCCTGCAATATCCTCCAAGCACAACATTAATCGGCTCGATAATTGACAATCTTTTTATCGAAACGTGGTCTAATTCGTCGAATTATTCGAGCTACTTTTATGAGTGTGCTCCTACAGCATGTCAATATTCTTACATCGAAAGAAATGATATTATTTACATCCTGACAACTCTGTTAGGTCTCTATGGTGGACTCACTATTGCCCTACGACTGATTGTTTGGCATGGACTAGGTATGATATTTTGGCTTCTCAGTCGATGTCGCTCATCGATACAAGTGACACCAAGTGCTTCTATTGAATGAGACTCTATTCGCAATCATTTAAACCATCCCTATATGCTTTATGTAACATTGCTCACTTTTATTTTTGTTTTACATGTTGTCATTATAGCACTGCTACTGCAATATCGCTTTCTCATATAGCAACTAAAATGTTATATTCGCTGATGAACTATCACTGTTGCCATTCTTGCCACCTAAGCGTTGAGTGACTTACCAATTCGATAACCCTAAAGTGTGCTTGTTTCATTGAAAAATTTATACTATGAAGGCTCTTAAGAGGGGGTCCACCAGGGGTGCGGGTGTTGGTGTGAGGGTGTGGGTGTGGGTGTGAGGATGTGGGTATGGGTGTGGGTGGTGACCTCCTCTTCTCTCGCCCAAACCCCCATTCATATACCCACACCCACACCTTTTATGTAAAATTCATTATATGTTCTATT